TTGATCGACGTATTCAGTGTCAAAACGACTTTGGTGCTGGGCTATTTTTAGACAGGAAACCATCTGTTTTGGTGGTTAAATCAACTCAGTGTACGACCCAGGTCTAGAAAGATGATTGCTGGGCGGAAAGCAGTGACGAGTATTGAAATCAGTGGCGTAGGCAGGGGGGGGGGGGTTAGGGGGGGTCATAACCCCCCTATAGTCCCTCGGTATATATATAAAAAGTATGAGGGGGGGGGGGTGCAAATCGAAAGTTTGAGGGGGGGGGGGGTTGCAAATCGAAAGTTTGTCCCCTGGTAAAAATTGGAACCCCCCCCCCCCCCCTCCTTGAGACGATCCTGGCTACGCAACTGATTGAATTTACCTAATTAGAATTAACCGATCGGCGAATGAAGCAGTGGCGGAACTAGAAAAAAAGGGCTCCCCCGCAAAGACAAAATTAGGGCCCCCTATATATATATATATATATATATATATATATATATATATATATATATATATATATATATATATATATATATAAAATCTATATCCTAACTGAGTAATTAAGTCTACTTCATTGCAATAAATAACCATTCTGAGAGAACAAACCAGTCAAATTTAGTCCAAACTCATTTGTGGTCAATGTATTAGAGTAACATTATTAAAATGCTGCTTAAAAATATATAAAGACGTAAGCTTGATTCGTGAATGGTTTCTCGCGCTATGTTTATTTTTTTCATTTTTGGCTTTTATAATATCAATTTTGAAAAAAAATGATTTTTTTTAGCTATACCATTGTTCATTACGTCTTATTTAAATAACAATTCAGAGAATTAATTGCTTTTTAATATACAAAATTATTTAAATGAGCTTCGTGGACATACCTATTTTAAAGAAGGGCAGTAAGTCATGGAAGTAGTGTGAATGTTTGCCTACCTTTCAAACTATAGCTCTTGTAGATTTTAAAATATTTTTCTACGCAACAATCTCTGCTATAGTAGACCTGTTTTTTTTTTTTACAAAACCACTTTCAAGATGCATGAAAAACATAATTTTTGAAAAAAAAATTCATTGTTTTTTGGTCGGAACTGGGCCCCTAAACGTCCTGGCCCCCCCCCCCCCCCCCCCCGCATTGCGGGGTCTGGCGGTATGGTAGTTCCGCCCCTGGAATGAAGATGACACAATTAGTAAAACTTTAGTTAAATGTTAAGATGGTTATAAGCATACATTGAATTAAAGGGTTGACTATCCCTGATCCAGACAAGCCACGTTGAATGTTAAGAGAAGATTTAACTTCTGAAGATCTCAAGTCGTGTTGGTCGAACTAATTGTTAGAAAATGTAAGAATTAACTCATAATACTAAAATCTCTGTATTAACTCACAATCAGAGACGTAGTTTGGAGAGGGTGGGTGGGGCAGCTGCCCCAAGGTGCCTACCCTCGGGGCGGGATGGGGGGCGCCAAACTGGATAGAAAAAAATAAAAAGCTCATTCTAAGTTGTATTAGTGGAGTATACACAGGAAATTGAATGCTACTTAGTGTTACAATTTGATTTAACAGTTTTATTTATAGATTGTGTGACATACAAATAAATATTGTTATAGGATAGTGAACGATGGAAAGGGGGAGGGGGTGTGTTTTTTGGCAAACTGGAATAACTTTATATAGGCCAAATTGGAAGAGGGACGCAAAATGGCGTCTGAATGAATCGCTTCGTCTCTGCTCATATGACTAAATTATTTGTATTTACCAACTCAAGTAAACTTATATGACTAAATTATTTGTATTTACCAACTCAAGTAAACTTATATGACTAAATTATTTGTATTTACCAACTCAAGTAAACGTATATGACTAAATTATTTGTATTTACCAACTCAAGTAAACTTATATGACTAAATTATTTGTATTTACCAACTCAAGTAAACTTTTATGATTCAATTATTTGTATTTACCAACGTAAGTAAACCCATGCCACTAAATTCTCCGTAAAATAGTTTCGAACATGAAAGTTTTTTTTTCCTGAGTTATAGACTAGTTCTCTCCCCATTTCTTCAGTCAGAAGTTATCGAATCTGTTAATCGTTATATAGAGACGCAGCAATACATATGGGGGGGGGGGGGGGTAATGATTCGTCAATCTAGTTTACTATTTTGCAAAATTGTGTGCAATTTATTCAAACTGACTTGTTCTTGCATTTCCTTTGTTAAGTTACAATTTTAATAATTTATCGATTATATTCAGCAATGATAAAAAAAGTAAAAAAAAAAAAAAAAAAAAAGAACTTTTTATTTATTAAAATTCGAAGCTTCAAAATAGTGTGTCTTGTAAGACTTCCAAAAAAATTACAAAGCCTATTGCAAAAATAAAATAGAATCATTTCAAATTTCTTCAATAGAAATAATCCAATACTCAAGCAGAAAAAAAAATGTTCCAGAATTCACCAGAAAAAAAAAAACAGTTACAAGATGGGCCTAGGGACCTTTCCAGCACCCACAAAACGAAATAGAAGGACATTGGCTCGAATTAAAGGGCGATAAATCTAGTTACTACAGTAAAACGATCTCTTCCCTGTCCAAACACCATAGTACAATTCTGGCACCAACAAAGGGAGATAATATCCTTGTTGAAGACTACCAGATCCATTATCTCCCTTGGTCTGGGAAACACTTTTTTTTATTTCACTGTGTTTTTCTAGAAAAAAAAAAAACCCCACAATTTCGGACGCCACATAATCTAAGATAAAACTATGATTTACTAACTTAACAACACGCAGAATAGTGTACCCTCTCTCCCCCCTCTCTCTCTTCCCAGTTTTTGATAACTTCCGCTAACCTATTTTGTTGTTCTAAATTAAATTACCTGACACAAAAACAAGACATCGACCTGCTTGGGTATTTACCCCCCCCCCCCCCCCCCCTCCCACCCCTACCAAATACTTGAACAATGAAATTATAATCGAGAAACTCATCAGGTATAGGGTTAGGTTTGTATTGGAAAGTTCTAGATCAGTGCATGATAAAAAAAATGTAATTAGTGAGAAATTAGGTTTAGGTTTCAACAACAAAGCTAATTCAGAAGCGAATTCTGAAGTCAAGATGTAAGCAGCGATTAGTTTGGACTATGGTAAGTTGTGAGGGGTTAGGTTTAGGGGTTACGGATTACGGATTACGGGTTAGGGATTAGTGATTTGGGGTTAGGTTTAACGGTAAGGTGTTTAGTGTTGGATTTAAGCGTTAGGGTAGGCTTATGATTAGGTTTTTTCGTTTGATTTGTGTCGCTTTTAACAATTAAATAGTACACATCTCATGTAGGTGTTTAGTTAGCTGACAATAGGAAAAATGTCTTCATTGGGTGGCTGTGGGGAGGGGGGGGGGTGGTAGGTCAAATTTACTGCCCTCTTTTATCGAACAAAACAACACGTTTGAGCTCAACATCTAAGCGAAATACTTGCAGACTTTTCACTTTTAATCGTTTCGATTTTTTTTTTACAACTTTAAATCCTACCCATATCATAGGTATTAATACTAATATAAACTTTCAAATTTTATTACACATTTTTATATTCTACATTTTAATATTCTAAATAGTTGTTAGAATTGTATCAAAGTATTTGTTTTAAAACAGATTTTATTTATTACATTAATATTCTTTATGTCAATTTTACATACAACTTATATTGTCCTACATATGCGCCAGTGTTTTAAAATGTGACTTTAGTTGTATAACAATATGACTTTCGACAAGGGTGGAATGTGTCTATTTATTGCGGAAATGACGCGCTGGAGTGTTAGCATTGACGTCAGTGTTAAGAGTCTGTCTAGACGTCTGCAACGTCAGAGGCAGACGGCAGGAAAAATATTGGACTGGGTTCACATCAGACTCGAATATAGCGATGTTTTGAGAGCACCCACATTTAAACGTGGGTGAGTTGATTGTATGAACTTTGACCCAGATGTTGAGGTCGTTGTTGGCAAATGACCTGGCTATGTGCTGAAGAGGTGGGCTCTATTTATAGCCGCGTCTGGACACGTGATGGTGAAGTTACAATTGCGTGGGCGCGTCATTTCCGTTCATTTTATGGTAGTGTCACTTACCTGACCAATAAGTAAAAAAAAAATTTAATTCTTTTATTTTTAATACAAAACAAGTGCATAATGTTTATTTTTTTAGGAGTTGAGTACAAGCAGAGGCGTAGCGAGGGGGGGGGGGGGGGGGGGCGGGGGTTGCGGACCGCACCGGGTGACACCATTGAGGGGGGGGGGGGTGACACCAAGGCAAAGAATAGCAAAATATGTAGAGAAAAACTTGAGGGGGGGGCGCAAATCGAAAGTTTGAGGGGGGGGTGCAAATCGAAAATTTGAAAGTTTGTACCCGGGAAGGGTCGCTACGCCTCTGGGGGGTGACACCATTAAGTGCCGCACCGGGTGACACCCGACCTCGCTACGCCACTGAATACAAGGTAGGGGAGGCGAAGCGTAAAGAAGGCAACAAAACTGTCATGCTGAGTTGTTTTTTTTTTGGGTAGTTTTTGTGTTATAAGGTGTTGGGCCTACATTAGGGCTTCATTGACGAATTAGGTTTGAGGTGTTCCCAAATAGGAGAAATAGGTTAATAAGTGAGACATATAATGAAGCAGTAATTTAAATCATATTGATATTTATTTATTATTTTAAAGTAAACTATTCTTTATACACAGCGTTCTCTCTTAAGGGGAAAAGTCTACGGATAAACTTGTATTTTGTGTGCGCGGTGTTCTAAAAGTCTTATACAAGGATATGAGTAGATTACAAAATCACTGCGCGGCAGGTTCAAAACTATGGCGCGGCCGCGCAACCGCGCAGCTTAGAGGGAACCCTGTTTATATACTGAGGTTTCATTAGAACTATTATGAAACGTCCTTTTTTTAACCCAATGGTTTACAATTGAGCCCATTCCCACGAAAAAGATAGAAATGCTTAATTTTTTTTTTAAATTAAAATATTTTAATGAAACAAATAAAGAATAAAAGGACAGGATGGGAATACAGTTAGATGGGTTTAATTTTAAAGTGGAGTCCAATTAGCGAAAACACCAAGCAATTCAAATCTTGCACCAGAAAGTACAATGTTCTCAAACCATCAGGGTCTTTGCTCTGGTTGACATCCAGCAATGATCCTATCTTTGATGTGAAAGAAATGTGCTCATCTCCTATTACAATTTCCAATTCCTGTCTTCCTACTCTCTCTGGTGATGGCCAAGCACTGTCATCTTCTTGCGTGATCTCAGAATCTTCAATAATACGCTTCAACTCTTCCATAACGGATTTATGTACAAAAGCCCCTTTTCTGATCATGGTGTCATTTTTGTAGTTGGAGTTGTTAGCATACCTAAGCTTACCGTCAGGTCGAAACTCAAATTCTAAAAATTCATGTCCAAATTTCCCTTTGTTGGCCAACATAACAACTTTATTAAAAGATTTATTTCACTTAATATAACAATTACATAATAACATAAGTTTTTTTTTTTAATACTTTTATTTGCAATTAAAACAAGTACATCAACATCAAATTTTTTAACATAATTTTGAACACCAAATGAAAACGAAAGGTTTTGCAAATGTACATAATGAATATTTACATGATGTCATGTATTTGATTATAAAAAATTGCCAAGGATGACAGTAAAAGGGGTTAAGGTCAAATGAAAGTGTCAGAAGTCTGGGTGGGGAGAGGAAAAGAATTTTTTCAGAGAGGGTCAATGGGACAGTGAAGCATTTTCTATGTAGGGAAACAACTTAAGTTGACTAGTTGAAAGGGTGTTGTAGTGGTCGCATTGAGTTTTCAAAAGGTTGCTGTGTGAAAGATGAGGGAAAGAGACAAGATTTAGAACTTTAAATAAGTTCTGGATATTGATGTTGCGGCATAATAACATAAGTATATTTAAAAACATTGTAGTTTGCTGCTTGTTTCATAAAATGTTTGAAGTCTCAATTTTACTATAACTCAAATCACAACTTGTAAATTTAAGGTTACTAAACCTCTAAATTTGCCTGAAATTTTAGCTTTATTACAACATTGAGTACAAAATAGACCACTACTAAAAATCCACAATTAATCTTACTTTAAAATCATACGGATTTTTTAACAATCTTACTAAACGCCCTTCTGCGTTAAATTATATTTAAGGAAGAAAAAAATGATGGATTAAAGTAAATTATCTCCTCTTGATGTGTAAATCGTCTAAATACACTGATCTACAGAGTCGCTAGATTGATCACTTTAAATATATTCAGAGCCAAACTTTACTTTTGTGGGTTACTACTAACACTCGCAGTTTTAAGAGCTGCATCTTTCGCACCCCCTCCCCCCCCCCCCCCCCCACTAACTCCCATCTCCCAGTCCGATGATTTAAAACAAGCAACATAAAAACATCACTTGAAGTGCTCTCCCCCTTATACTGGCTGCGTCATAGTTAAGACCTTCCGTCCTCCGATCCCCCGCCTCGCCGTCTATTGGTCTCGTTTTGAGTTTATCCTCCATCGCCGTCAATAGCTGTTGAACTACCCATAAACCACCACTTGTATTGTCTGGCGACGCTTGAGAGAAAGGCGACGATAAGTAGTTGGGTTTTTTTTTGGTCTAAAAAGATAAAAGTACGATGGCTTGTACTAGTTAGGTCATTGTGATTTTAGTTTAGCTCATCGACAAAGTTTTGCAACGTTACATTGTCATTATGTCCAAATGTCTGTCTGCGGGTGTGTAGTTAATTATTGTAGTTTTGACCCATTATATTTGACCCATTTCTAGTTTTGCGATTCTTATCCAGATAAATTAATTTCTGAAGACAACACAACAATAATTTAATTTAATTGATTACTTAATAAGTCATTTTAAAATTAATTGAAACATCACTATAAAAAATATCACAAGGGCAGATAGCTGGTAGGTCAGATGAGCAGAAGCAGATGCAGAAGCGTAGCGAGGGTGACACCATTTAGGGGGGTGACACCAAGGCAACAAATAGCAAAGTATATAGAGAAAAATGATAATTCCACTTAATAAAGTGATTAATTCGAGTGTTAAATAGTATTTTAAGAGGTGCAAATCGAAAGTTTGAGGGGGGGGGGGGGGGGGTTGCAAATCGTAAATTGAAAGTTTGTCCCCGGGAAGGGTCGCTAAGCCTCTGGGGGGTGACACCATTAAGTGCCGCACCGGGTGACACCCGACCTCGCTACGCCTCTGAGTAGATGTCGAATGTTGCACATACATTAGTATCACTTTAATCAAGGGAAGCTACTACGAAGGGAGATTATATGGTTACCGATAGTTGATATGTGTTAGGGGAATATTAGCGGCATCCTGTCAAATCTGTATAAAGCTAAGTTTTGAGATAGTGGTAGGCCATTGGCGTAGCTACCGTAAAGCTAGCGTAAGCAAGGCTTAGTGTCCCAAGTCAAATAGGGGCCCTTTTTCGAAAGTTTGAGGGGGTGCAAATCGAAAGTCTGAGGGGGGGGGGGTGCAAATCGAAAGTCTGAAAGGGGGCTGCAAATCGAATGTTTGTCCCCGGTCGCCGGGAAGGGTCGCTACGCCTCTGAGGGGCCCACTAACACTTTTTGTATAGAGGCCCAAAAAATCCTAGCTACGCCACTGTGGTAGGCGTTGACTTGAGATTAGTCTGATTAAGGAAAATTATATAATGTTAGTTGTTTTTTGAAACTGAGAGTGTTCATTTACTCTTCACGCAGGATCTAAATATGAAATTTGAAATAGTAATATAAAAGATAAAAAGTATGAAAGTTTTTATAAGATGCAGAATTTAAATAAAAATACATTTTTTTTTAATATACAAATTTTTGGTATTCGGTTTCTGTTCGTGACGTCACACACAGGAAAAGATAGGTGGAAATATTTTAATGGATCAAATAATGAGCAGACTATAGTGTTGTGCTTACGCACATATGCAACCCGTAAAGACGGCCGTAAATTTTTAAATATTTTAAAGATGTTATAAAACCTTAGAAGTAAGACCAAAGATCACCTATTTGAAGAACACATGTTGGAAAGACCTCTACGATGTAGGTCATAGACCACAGCAGTGACGTCGAGAAAGGTGACCTAGTATTCAAGATTGAAACTGTTTTAATATATGACAATGATCTGCTAGCGCTAGACTGTCTCTCTCTGTCTATTTTACTTAACTCGTTCTTTCACCTTTTTCTCCTTGACTTATCCTGTCACCATCCTGTATCCATTTGTATCTGTGACCTATCCTAATAGTTACCAAATATCCACCATCCATTTTTATCTGTGACTTCTCCTGATATTATCCACCATCCATTTTTATCTGTCACCTATCCTGATATTATCCACCATCCATTTTTATCTGTCACCTATCCTGATATTATCCACCATCCATTTTTGTCTGTGACTTCTCCTGATATTATCCACCATCCATTTTTATCTGTGACCTATCTTAATGACCTATCCTGATACTTACTAAAAAAACCATCCGCCATCACTTCCCATCCATGACCTAACCTGACACCAACCACCACCTCCCCCCCCCCCCCACCTCCATATACAGACAACGCCTCACAACAACATCCGCTAAAACAAAGCAAAACTGACAACGCCGCTACTAATGGGAATTCCCACTACACCTCCTACGGCGTCCGCCCCCCCCCCTCCCCCTCCAGAGACAGACAATTAAGACGCCTGGCGACTCCTCAGTTGGTATCCCGAAACCCCACCCCCAAACGGGTGTGGGACCCTGGAGCAGCTCGGGTACCAGGGGCGGGTTTGTATAACGCGCCCCGCAGGTTCCATTAATCTAATTAGATTAAAATAATTAGAGACCATCGGACCGGCCTTCGTTACCTATTTAAGATGCTTTAAAAGTACTGCGAGCTACTTAAACCAAACACGTAATTTCATTTGTCCGTCTTCTGTCTACTTCAGAGTGTGGTACAGACTAAAGTGCTGTTCGGTTTTAGGAATCTCTTGCACGCATAGAACAATTCATATTTACCTTTACACACACGCACACACACACACACATATATATATATACTAGCCGTCCCGGCCAGGCCCTGCTCTGGCTTCTGTGAAAAACCTTTCTGTTAAAGACCATTACCTGTGTGTTTAGTAATCATCATAAACCCGGCATTGCCCACCCAAACCACAACCAACCAAAACCAAAACAACAAAACGCAAACATAACGCTAACACAATTACAAATACAAACGAAAACAAAAAACTTAACAACAAACACAACCACACCCACAAACACCATACAAAACACAAAGAAAAACAAACAAAAAAGCAAACGAAAACAAAAACCTAACAACAAACCCAACCACAAACACCAATACCAACAAAAAAAAAAAACAACGAAAAAAGCAAACGAAAACAAACCAAATCCAAACGCAAAACCAACCAAAAACACAAATACAAACCCAAACAAAAAAAAAACACAAACAAAAACGAAAAAAGAAGAACAAAAGCGAACCAAATTAAAAACGCAACCACTAACGCAAACCCACCTAAACACAAAGAAAACACTAACGCGAACATAAACGCCCGGGGCGGAATCACCTGTTTTAGCTTAATGAACGACTATAGTACCCCAACTTATTCACAGTCTTTTGCACTCACTTAAAACGAACGCGCCTGTTTCAATTTAATAAACAATTTTAATACTCCAAGCTTATCGTAAAATACCTACAACATTTGCACTTGATCAATCCCCGCTAATTATGTAATTATTTTTTTTCCCAACACCAAAACAAAGTAATTAAAAAGTAAATTATTTTCACGGAATGCAATGGTTTTATAAAGGGAAGTAATTGTGTTTTTCCTAATTTATCAAAGGGAAGTAAGTGCTATAGGAACTAAATAAAGACATAATTAGAATTTTTGTAAAAGATGATATTTTTTTTAAAACTTGTGTTTAATGAACACGCCGACAATTATTACTATAATTTGAAAAATGAAAATTATTTCCCAACACTTTCAATAGTAATTTTTTAGCTCATAAATTTAGACAAATGCGCACGATAATTTTCTAACACTTAAATTCGTACAATTCCAACGACATACAAATGCATTACATACAGAACTGAGCTTTATATATTAGATATATATATATATATATATATATATATATATATATATATATATATATATATATATATATATATATATACATGTATATAATTATATACAAATATATAAATACATGTATACATATAATAATAAATATTCGTAAAAATATATATACATTTATATACATGTATATACACATTTATATTTATATATATATATATATATATATATATATATATATATATATATATATATATATATATATATACATGTATATAATTATATACAAATATATAAATACATGTATACATATAATAATAAATATTCGTAAAAATATATACACATTTATATACAT